AGCTCTAGCCATTGCTTGCTGATAGTTTTGCAGTGGAGTGTGAGGCTCTAGTGCTACCTGGTTTCCTGTTTATTGCATATTACAATTGACATTTTTGTAATCAAAAGGGAATACATATTTTTTAATCTGTAGTTATGGTGCCATTTTTTACTCTCAATACTTTTGCTCCATGAAATAAGTTCCAAATGAAGACCAAACACCTTTGCGGCCAAGGATTGCCCATGGATTTCCCATCTTTCCTTCTGATGGGAAAAGATGCTGATTTGACAGCAGGATGGCTATGAACAGCCACTCCTCCCTGTCACACATCACGCATTCATGTCACCTCTGGGTTATGAGTGTCAAAGACAGCTGGCAGAGCTGATAGCATCAACGTCAACTCAGACCTGTCCAGAAACCGTGAGGTGATCCTTCTCTCATGCCAGTGATGACGCACTGACTGTACCACAGTGAGGTGGGATGATGGATTTCCTTTCCCTAACTGGGCTGCATTGTTCAGGATGAAAAGAGGCAGCCAGCACTGGTAATTAACAGAGTAATTAGCAGGAGAACCTAGCTGGAGGTGCTTCCCTCACACGTCCTGAGTGTGCCTGCTGCACAGCTGACCGTGTTTGCTGTCCCGTGGTGGTTCCTGGGTCATTCTCTCCGCTGCTTTCCTCATGGAAACATGAATATTTCATTAAGTTGTGCACATTAGTTCTGTTTTCTGAGGATCCTCATGCTGAAAGGAGAGACGTTTCTCCTCCAGCGGCACATTGCTCTGCTAACATGTGATGTATGTGTCAGGGTTGGTTTCTTCAGCACAAACCCCCAAATTAACCCTTCCTCTTCCCAGAACAGCATTAAAACCTTTCAAGTACAGTTAGAGAGTGAGGTGAATTGTAGAATTTTACCCAGATCTCCCAATCTAGTGCTTTAGTTTGCATATTTCAGCATGGTGATGTCCAAACTGGAGTAATGGGTTATGAGTGTTTAATTGTGCTTATAGGGGGGAGCTAAAAGTATAACCACACTTAACTAGATATAAAGATACAACTGAAGTTAGTATAACTAAAGAATTTACATGCATTTCCTCATTTTTGTAGCTATTATCATGAAAAAATGCCCCCAAATTGCCTTTTCCAGCCTGAAGGCACAACCTGTCATGAAGAAAGACTAGAAAAGGCAGAAAAAGGCTGCATCAAAAATGCTATAAAGCATGTTCCTAATCATAAAACAACCTAAGAGTTTTGTCTGAGCAAGGAAACAAGATTTGGACAATTGTAGCCAAATATTTTTGCACCTGTGTGTCAAAATCTGCTTATTTCCACCCACTGAGTACACTCTCAGCAAGTTTGCTGACCACACCAAGTGTGTGAGACAGTCACAGCTGGAGGGAAGGGATGGGACATCCGCAGGGACCTGGACAGGCTTGAGAGGTGGAAAAATGCAAACCTCATGAAGTTGAACAAAGTGAAGTGCAAGGTCCTACATCTGGGCCATGGCAATCCCAGGCACAGCTACAGGTTGGGTGGGGAAGGAACTGAAGCCAGCAGTGAGGAGAGAGACTTGGGAGTAACAGTGGATGAGACACTCCCCATGAGCTGCAGTGTGAGCTCAGCCCAGAAAGTCAACGGAGTCCTGGGCTGCATCCAGAGTGGGCAGCACTTCTCCTCTCTTCTGCTCTCATGAGACCCCACCTGG